AACTTTCAGACCAATTTCCAGGATACTTGGATCAAAACAGTAGCAACTAGAGTGTTAACAAGATTTTTCTATTTTTAGCTCCGGTGACCTAGTTTCACATGCGATTTCGAACTCATCCAAGAAATTACCTAGACAAACATCCTGACCAAGTTTGATGATAATTGAGTCGAAAATGTGACCACTAGAATGTTAACAAGGTTTTTCCATATTTGGGCGGTGTGACCTAGTTTTTCATCCAAGATGACCCATGTTCGATCTTGACTTAGAAATCATCAAAACAAACTTTCAGACCAATTAACAGAATATTTTGGATCACAACAGTAGCCACTAGAGTGTTAACAAGATTTTTTTCTATTTTTAGCTCCTGTGACCTAGTTTTTCATCCGAAATGTCCCATGTTCGATTTATTCCCAGCAATGACCTAGACAAGTTTCCTGACCAAGTTTGATGACAATTGAGTCAAAAATTGTGACCACTAGAGTGTTAACAAGGTTTTTCTATTTTTAGCCTCCTGTGACCTAGTTTTTCATCCGAGATGACCCATGTTCGAACTCATCCGAGCTATCACCTAGACAAGCATTCTGATCAAGTTTGATGATGATTGATGCAAAAATGTGACCGCTAAAGTGTTAACAAGGTTTTTCTATTTTTTAGCTCTGGTGACCTACTTTTTCATCCGAGATGACCCATGTTCGAACTCATCCAAGCTATCAACTAGATAAGCATCCTGACCAAGTTTTGATGATGTATGATGCAAAAATGTGACCACTAGAGTGTTCACAAGGTTTTTCTATTCATAGCTCCGGTGACCTAGTTTTTCATCCGAGATGACCCATATTCCGAACTTCATCCGAGCTATTATCTAAACAAGCATCCTGACAAAGTTTGATGCATGATTGGGTCAAAATGTGACCACTAGAGTGTTCACAAGGTTTTTCTATTTTTAGCTCCTGTGACCTAGTTTTTCATCAGAGATGACCCATGTTCGAACTCATCCAAGCAATTGACTAGACAAGCATTCTGACCAAGTTTTGATGATGATTGGTTCAAAAATGTGACCACTAGAGTGTTCACAAGGTTTTTCTATTTATAGGCTCCTGTGACCTACTTTTTCATCCGAGATGACCCATGTTCGAACTCATCCAAAGCTATCACCTAGACAAACATCCTGACCAAGTTTGATGATGATTGGGTCAAAAATGTGACCTCTAGAGTGTTCACAAGGTTTTTCTATTTTTAGCTCTTGTGACCTAGTTTTTCATCCGAGATGACCCATGTTCGAACTCATCCGAGCTTTCAACTAGATAAGCATCCTGACCAAGTTTGATGATGATTGAGGCAAAAATGCGACCGCTAGAGTGTTCACAAGTAATTGTGGACGGCCGGACGGACGACGGACGACGGACGACGGACATTCACCGATCCTAAAAGCTCACCCTGAGCAAGCTCAGGTGAGCTAAAAAAGATAATTATACTTTTTGTAAATTCAATCATGGATTCCCATTTCCAGATTATCATAAAGTAAGATGATTCTAGATGTTTATACCGTTAGATACCAAATAAAATGCCCATACCAAATGTACAAATGTAATGACCATTGTCTTGAAAATAATGAAATTTATTTTCTGGTTCTATCTAGAAAACCTTTCACAAAGAAAAATCTAGGACATTTGTACAGGTAATATCTTATTTTTAAGGTGTTAAGATGATATGATAGAATTTTATTTTACAAGAAATGTCATTTTTTAACTTCTAGAATTTATAAAATGTTGTGGTTTACTGAGAATGAGTGAGCATCAAATTCAGATGTTCTATATATTTGTGCTGTATTGGTACCAATATGAACAACAGCTGTCGCAGTAAGAAAGATAAAACTATGAAAGAAAAATCAATTAAGTATAATTATGTTTTAAGTTATAGTAAGGAAATTACATTTGTTAACATAAATTCCAAGTTCAAGAGGGATTAATTTTGGAAATAGTCACGCTAGAGCAGACTTCCCAAAAAACATCGGCCCGACGGACATGTCCGATAAATTTTGATAAGGTCCCACGATTATTTATTCCGAATCGGTCAGACTGTCTGGCTTTTATCCAAGTGACTGAGTCGCATGTATACAAAATGGCGTCGTTTAAGGTGCCAAAAGCGGGAAAAAACGAAAAATCTACGTCAGAGGAGTGCGCAGAACAACAATAAAAGGATGAAAATAATATCCTGAGATAAAATTTAATGAAAATTGGAAGCAGGACTGAGAATCGTTGATAGGTGAAAATGCACTGTACAAAATGTGCTAATTTTTACTGCGAAATAAATTAAAACCGAAAAGTGTCTTCCCAAACCAAAATGCATGCCTGCGACAAGCTTGCCGCAAGCTTGTCACAAGCTTGCCGCAAGCTTGTCACAAGCTTGCCGCAAGCTTACAGCTTAAATACAAGGTTGCTGCATGCTTGCAACAAGCTTGCGATGACTTTTGAAATATATTGCAAGCTTGTTTAAAATTTATGCAAGCTTGCAAACATTTGATGTACTTTAGCTTGCAACGCCGCAAGCTTGCAATTAGTAGACACTTAGAAAATTTTTGTACAAATCTACACTTAGAAATTTCTTGTTAAAGTAATGGAAACACTTAGAAAATTTTTGTCAAAAGTGTACACATTAAAAAACAAGAGCCCGGTTTGAGCCGGGTGATGCTCCCCAAATAGGTTTTGGACACAGGAAAGTACACCTCTTGTAGTTTCAGAGTTATGTCCGTGGAAAAAGTTCAAAGTGCAATAATTCTAAAATTAGGCAAGGCAGAGTTACAGTTCTTTGCACTGCACTTCTAATCAATGTGATCTATCAACCTACAAAGTTTCTTGATGATATCTCTTATGATTTCCGAGTTATGTCCTGGACAATTCAAAAAGTAAAAATAAACAAAGGGCAATAACTCCAGAATTAGGCAAGGTAGAGTTATGATTCTTGTGCACTGCACATCTACCCATTGAGATTTATCTACCTACAAAGTTTCATGTTGATATCTCTTATAGTTTTACAGCTATGTCCTGGATAAGATTTTTTCTAAAAAGGCGAGATTATTCAAAAATAAGGCTTAACAGAGTTATGGTTCTTTTGCACTGCACCTCTACTCAATGAGATCTATCTACCTACAATGTTTCATGTTGATATCTCTTATAGTTTTAGAGTTATGCCCCGGACAAGATTTTTCTATAAGGGGAGATAATTCAAAAAACCAGGCAAAATAGAGTTATGGTTCTTTGACACTGCACCCCCCCTCAATGCCCTCTACCACTGTATGAAGTTTCAACAAATTATCTCCAAGGGTTTTCAAGTTATGTTCCGGACAAAGTTCAAAGTATTAAAATTAACAAAGGGCAATAACTCCAAATTAGGACAAAAAGAGTTATTGTTCTTATGCACTGCACATCTACGCATTGAGATCTATTCACCTACAAAGTTTCATGTTGATATCTCTTATAGTTTTAGAGTTATGCCCCGGACAAGATTTTTCTATAAGGGGAGATAATTCAAAAACCAGGCAAAATAGAGTTATGGTTCTTTGACACTGCACCCCCCCTCAATGCCCTCTACCACTGTATGAAGTTTCAACAAATTATCTCCAAGGGTTTTCAAGTTATGTTCCGGACAAAGTTCAAAGTATTAAAATTAACAAAGGGCAATAACTCCAAAATTAGGATCAAAAGAGTTATTGTTCTTATGCACTGCACATCTACCCATTGAGATCTATTCACCTACAAAGTTTCATGTTGATATCTCTTATAGTTTTTAGAGTTATGCCCCCGGACAAGATTTTTCTATAAGGGGAGATAATTCAAAAAACCGGGCAAAATAGAGTTATGGTTCTTTGACACTGCACTCCCCCTCGATGCCCTCTACCACTGTATGAAGTTTCAACAAATTATCTCCAAGGGTTTTCAAGTTATGCTCCGGACAAGACAACGGACGGACAGACGGACGGACGGACGGACAGACGGACAGGGCGCCGACTATATGCTCCCCCGAAATTTTTCGGGGAGCATAAAAATTCCAAAAATGATAGTATCAGTGATAATTAACTAGTTTAAACTAGATTACCACGCTAAAGTTTATTATTAGTTACTAGTATTTTATATATTCAGCTCAGTATTGTAAATTTACGAAAAAAATATAAAATCATCATTTATTTTAATGCAAGTTACTGTAAATGATTTGAAATTTGACACTTTATACATTTAATGTAGTTGGAAAAGGGTATCTCAGAAAAAATGTCTGTGCAAAAGAAGTAAATGAATTGATTGTTAAATACATATTATTATTTCAATAAATCTACATGAAGTTATGTACAATGAAATAATATCCATTTAATTACAGGCTTTAAGTTTAACTATAAATTAATTAAAGTCTGTGATTCAATCATTCAGACACTATAATAATCAAGATGGGATTGCATTGCTTGCCATTTTTAAATTCTAAGAATTCATGTTTTTGGATAACAATAAATAAATAAATAAACAAAACAAAAACAGTGCATGAAATAATCTCATATATATTCTTTATTAAATTAATCAATATATATTGCTTTTATCTAGGAAAATAAATACTACATCCACTGAGATTTTACGCTACACACATCAGAGCCTTGATAAAATTCATTGACCATCTGTGCATGCATGACTAATGTACTCCCTGGTCATTCCGACAGATCAGGCTGTTCCATGTGATTATTTTGGGGAGAGATAACATTATAAATTTCATATGCAGAATGTGTCTTTTGTACAAAAATTTGTAATGATTTTTAAAATCTATATATCTATTAGCTACTTGATATTTTCTTTTACGCTCAAAGAATGAAAGTTAAAATGATGAGTAGATTAACCCTGCTTTACATAATGATAGACCTGTCCAGTTTTACAGTAACTGTTGTAAAATTTGAATTTTAATATATCTGGGTCAGCAAAGAGAGCAAATTACAGAGGATATACTTGATATTTTTTAGCAGTTTTGGAGATATTGTTTTGTTAAAGATTTTAAAGTGTTTAAGTATTGGTATGATAACAATCAGAATCACCTGGGACAAGGAGATATACAACAGAATCAGGTATTTATAAATCTTAAGTTACATTAATGCAGAAACAGGTTATATATCAAATTATTAACATTTGTAACAAGAGATCAAGGTTGTTTTTATATTTTCAACTTCATGCATTTGTTTTTCTGATAATTCTTTTTAATCTATACATGTATAATCTGTAAAATATAAATTATTCAATGATTTCTTTTTAATGATTGTTTATATTGTTTAAATGGCATGTTAGTAGATCTTTTTTATTTCCTGCAAATAAAACAAATTAAATCAATTTGATTAAATAGGACTAAATGGTACAATCAGTAGTTTTGTACAGCTGAACAGGGTCAATCATAATCATTTGTTATTTTACATGTATGTGTTGTGTTTTCAATGGAACAATCTAAAATTACACTATACATAAATAATTTGCAGGCTGGGACATAAGTGCTGACTGTGAGAAATAGCGGCAGTGTTTAATAATGATGTGCAGTATTAATCCTGAAAAGGTATATTATTAAACCTCAATACTTTTCTATTCCACATCTTTTCTTGAAAAAATACATACTGGGTAATAAATATTGTCACAAATTTTCTCAATTCTCATACAGAGAAATTCTTAAACATTAAAATAAGCATAGTTAATATTTAATAGTTAATACTGTTGAAACATTAGATTTGATGTTATTAAAAGATATGTAATATAACTGCATTTATGCAATAAAACATAGTTCATTACCGCATCTGTATTTAATTAATTATGAATTTTATCTTTAAAGGTCAGCACAACCATAAGAAGTTCTAGGAAACACTGGCAGAGGACTAAAAATGGACATCGATAAAAGAAATCGTAATTTAAATAATCAGAAACATTTAAAACAAATTTAAGATTGAATAGTTTGTCACTGACAGACTAAGAGCAAAATAATTGCTTAAAACAAAGTGTTGAATTCTAAGAAAACAAGAACCTACCAAAACCTGCAGCTAGAAAAAAACTGTTTGTGTTATAGTGAATGTAGTGTGTTCTATTCTGTATTTGGACTAAAGGATATGTATAATTAAATTTTGTGAAAGAAATATGTGATCATGTTAAACTCATAAAAATTCTACCCCAAACATTCCTGTGCTGAATTCCATCCCAGAATTTTACATTTTAAGAACATTCAGGGATGCTGGAATTAGGCTGGATTTTTTTCAATGTCATTCCATCAAGGCTGGACTATTCACCATGGTAATTGGAAGAAAACATTGGTATATTAAAAATTTAACATCAGCTTCTTTTTACAATTTATGATTAAATAAGTTTATCATGGTAATTAATGCCTTTTTTTTTTGCATGTTATATAGGATTCAGAGACTGTTATACGTAGCAGCTCCCTTTCCAAATAGGGTTTACAGTTTTTGCAAGCCTGCGATTAAGCTTGCGCAAGCTTATACATTAAGCTTGTAGTTATACATGCACAAGCTTGCGACTTAGCCTGTGCAGGCTTGCGGATAAACCTGCGCAAGCTTGCAAATAAGCTTGCGCAAGCTTACGATTAAGCTTAAATATTAACTAGTTTGCAGTCAGATTTTTTTAAATAACTGATCGCAAGCTTGCCGTAAGGTTCCAATTACTAGCCAGTAGCAAGCTTGCAACATAAGCTTGCAGCAAGCTTGTGACAAGCTTGCAATGTTAGCTTGCGATTTTGGTTTGGGTTAGAAATACAAACACGAGTTTTCCTTTGATTTAAATTTCATTCGGTCTGACAGATTTTCATGGTTTGTCAGACCGAATGTCTGATACTTTTTTTATTGTTTGTTTGTTTGTTTTGGTTTTATGTCACATCAACACAGTATAGGTCATATCGCGACGTTCCAGCTTTACTGGTGGAGGAAGACCTCAGGTGCCCTTCCGTGCATTATTTCAGGCACAAACGGGCACCTGAGTAGAACCACCGACGTTCCATAAGCTAGCTGGATAGCTTCCTCACATGAAATAATCCAAAGTCCCTATCGGGATTCGCACCCACAGCAGTGAGGGGCAAGTGGTTTGAAGTCAACGACCTTTACCACTCGGCCACGGACGCTCCCATTTATTTTTTACCTTTAGGGAAGTCTGCTAGAGTTATGAACCATGTCAAACAACATGTGTGTAATATTAAGAAATATATTTGAAATTTGAAGTAGATACCTTAAAAAGTAAAGTAGTAAATAATATTTCTTAAAGAAAATCCTAAGTTTAAAGAGAAATTAATCTGAAAATATTGCATTGTCACATAAGATGTATTGATGATACTTAGGAATAAGTATTTGAAGTTTGAGGTAGATACCTTTAAACTAAAGAAGTTATAGTAAACAAGAGGGCCATGATGGCCCTATATCGCTCACCTTAGGTAGATCTTATAAAGTATTTTCCTTTTAAAAAAAAAACAACAGGTTTATAAAATCCTTTAATGTCATTTAAAGTTTAGTGTAAAATGTAATGTATTTTTGGCCGACAGCAACAGGAATGCAAACAAGTGAATAGAGGATATTCAAGTTTTTTCTATAAATACATGATTTATTTTCATCGAGTGGTATGAAAATAAATATTTCATGAGTGGCGGTAGCCATAAGTGAAATATGGTAATTTTCATGCCACAAAATGAAAATAAATCATGTATTTATAGAAAAAACTGGAATTTTCTGTTTATTATGTACATTTTTCTCTTTTTTGCGATAAAATTTGAAAAACATTCCCTTAAATTTTGTGTACTGGTAGAATTTAAAAGAAAGTAGTCCGGCAAGACACCAGCGAAAATACGGAAAATATGTTTCACTGCAGTGAAAAATAAATTTTTACAGTGAAAATACGGAAAATGAAAATACGCATTTTATTACATCAATATTTCTCAATATTTCATTTATAAGTATATAATAAATATAAATACCTCTTTTTTCTTTTCTTTAATGTACAGGTTGCTAAAAAAATACACTCCCTGTGGCGTGTTTACATCATGAAAATTTTAACAATGACATCATAATTAACAAGGCGAAGTACAAATTTGGATAAATTACTTCAATAAAAATGGGTCAAAGACAAAAATGGCCAGGTTGCATTTGTATACCAAATAACATGACTCATGAGGCTGTGATGTTACAAAAATTTCCTACCAATGACCATTCATATCGAACATTTAACAAAGTCGGTAAACACGAAGAAGATAAGCGATAGACCTGAACTTTGCAGTCACAATACCAAATTTCAAGAGGCTGTGATATGTAGTTGCTAAGAAAACTGTTACGGAAATTTCCTTCCATCTACAATTAATGCTGAAAATTTCACTAGGTCAGAAAACTGAAAGTGGATGAGCCACATACCTGAAATCATATCAATGTTGTATACCAAACATCAAGAGGCTGTAATAAGTAGTTGCTGAGAAAATTGTTACAAAAAATTCGTACCATTGACCATTATTATGAATTAAACTAATGAGAAAATTGTTACGAAATATTCGTACCATTGACCATTATTATGAATTTAACTAAGTCAGTAAACATGAAGTGGATAAGCGACAGACCTTAAATCGAATCTCATGGTATTGGACAATGTGTTAATGCTGCATACTAAATATCATGAGGCTCTGATAAGTAGTTGCTGAGAAAACTGTTACGAAAAATAGCCCAACCAATTGGCCTGCCTGCCCAGAATCAAGCCTCAATACAGGATGGTAAACAGAATTTTTTTTTCATTATGATTTTTTTTTCGAAAACCAGTATTATAGTTGTAATAGATATCCCATTAGTGTTTAAATATCAAAATATTTTTTGATAGTGTTTACTCAGGGGTATCATGTTGGCCCAAGCATCTGTGGTTTATCATAATTTAGAACACCCTTTCTAAAAAAAAAGAACAACAACAACAATTAGCAGGGATCTCAGGAAGATAAAAATTTCACGTGGCAGACTGTTTGACCAAAATTTTCATGAGTCATTTCAGTTTTTTCCTCTCTTTTAATCTCTTCATGAACCATTTTCATGTTTCAATAATGAATTCAAAAATTACTGTTTGAGAAGATTTTCAAGTATAAATTGATAATATTGTGAGGTTAAGTTATTTTAAAATTACGTATTTTTCTTGCTTAGTTAACAAAATGATAAAGATAATTAAGTATTACTAGCACCATGGATAATTACCATAATTATTTTTCCATTTTCACTAACATTTATTGAGGTCAATAACACAGTCATGTGTGCATGTATAATTTTATAAATCATAACACGGGACGTCGGGAGGTGATATTTACATAAATACAGAATGTCATGCCTTAATACTTAACAAATAGTTAACAAAATACCTGTTTCAACGAAGCACACCGATAATTGTATTCATCTTCACTTCTTTGTTGTGAAATACTAGTTTATGTTACAAAATTTCTCAATTTTCTTGTTGGCGGACGTTTCGTCATGTACTTCCGGTTTAGTATAATTTATAATCTCAACTCGAGGTCAGATTGATACAGATGTTTTCTGAGGCAAAATTGTTGGTTTGATTGGATATGCATTATTTGATGATTCGAATCGTATGTTTGTTCTCAAAATGAAATATTATGACATAATTCGTTCATCAGTAGGTGCGGTGTAGCTAGCTGCTATATGATTTTTCCCGCAAACCAGAAGGATAAAAAATGTAATATCCGTACTGTAAATTAAACTTTTATCTTAATCAACTAATTTTTGTGGAAAAAAACAACATTTTTTGTTCACTGTCGTTTCTTTGTGCAATTTCATACACAATAAAATGTGCCAGTCATTGTCAAGAACCGAAATATTTTACAATTGTATTCCAGAAATGACACAGTCTTCCTTTCTGATGATATTACAAAATTAATGGAAAAATCCCTTATTGAATGGGGAAATCAACTTCACTGTAGCTCTCAAATTTGTGCTATTCTGATCGACTCTGTTTTGAATTAACATTCACATTCAACAAACTTTTCATCCTTCTTATGCTTTAATAGAAAAATCTTCATTACAATGTTTGTTGAGACAAATAATACAAGATACACTGTCTCAATTTATCCCTACAAAGAAAGTCTATATAACCTTAAATAAAAAAAATCTTTAACTCCCAAAATAGAGACCAATTTTCAGCTTTAGACCATAATTTTAATATACTTTGTAGGAACTAACAAGCTAATGCCTTGTGAGAAATATCTAAGCTCTAGCCCTTTCCATTTTGAAGTATAAGAACTTTTAAGTTTTTTCTTTTAGTTGCCATAGCAACCAGAGTTTAGCATGGAATGACATTCTTTGAACAATCTTGATAGAGCTTCATACAATGAGCATTCCTGCCAAGTTTCATTAATATTGGCCAAGTGGTATTGTAGAAGATGTCGTCTGAATAAAATGTGGACGGACATCGGACGCCATTTGGTTGGCCATCCTAAAAGCTCACCTGCACTTTGTGCAAGGTGAGCTAAAAATAGCATTTTTCAATTAAAAAAATATAAGTTTATGGGGAGATAATTCTTGCAATTTTGGTGCTAGAGTTATGAACCTTGTCCCATTACATGTGGTTAATAATAAGTAACATATATTTGAAGTATGAAGTTGATTCCTTAAGAAATAAATAAGTTACAGTGAAAATTAATATTTTTTAAGGAAAATTCTAAGTTCAAGGGGAGATAAATCTAAAACAAGATTGCATTTGAGAAAAATGCTATGCCACCGCATGGTTCAAATTTCATAGTTGTACATCAAAGGACAAGAAAGTAGGTCACATCATCAAAATCTAGGTCAAAGTTCAATTTTACAACTAAAACTGTGCACATGGTCAAAATGTCATTGCTGTACATCAAAGGACAAGAAAGTAGGTCACTGTCCCCTTGGGCAAGGCATAATTTTGACCCAAGGGTTTAATAACAATCTTGATACAGGTCCACCAAACAACATTTCAAGTCAAATATCTAAGCTATAGCTTTCTCCCATTCAGAAAACATTTGTTTTATTTTCTGTTTTTACTACGTGTACATAATGAGAATCACTGTCCCCGGGCAGGGCCAATTTTTGACATTTTAACAACTTTGGTAGAGGACCTATAGATGATATTAATAATTATATATCAAACATCAAAGCTCTATGCCTTGAACCTTCAGACAAATTTTTTTTTTTCACTATATGTACATAATGACAAGAGCTATCAGTAATCACATGTGTCGCCTCATAATGGCCAATTTCATGTTGGGACAAATTTTGTGACAGACGGACAGTGCACAACTAGACTAAGTACTGATCAATCATGTAAAGTTTGGATAAAATTGCACCAGTAGCTTATGAGGAGTAGTCCTGACAAGCTTTTGTGTATCTGGCAACACACAGAAAAAAACACCTTTTTATCAAAGGGCCATAACTCAGCCAAAAATCATTCAACGGGAAAACCGGTGCAATATGCGCAAGGACTTGAGCTACAGATCAATCCTGTAAAATTTCATTGAAATTGCATAAGTGGTATAAGAGAACTAGTCCGGACAAACTTTAAAAATAAAAATTATTAAAGGGCCATAACTCTGACAAAAATCATTGAACCGGAAAATGCTGACAATATGCACAACTAGACTTGGTACTGATCATTCCTGTAAAGTTTGGATGAAATTGCACCAGTAGTTTATGAGGAGTAGTCCGGACAAGCTTTTGTGTATCTGGCAACACACAGAAAAAAAAACACCTTT